CCGAGAGGGGTCGCGCAGTCGGGGGGGCGGAGAACAAAGGGGGGGCCGGCGGGGGGGGTGGGGGGGGGGGGGGGGGCGCGGGGTAAGTTTGAAGCGTTGGGGGCGCTGGGCCGCCGACGTCAGCGACCAGAGCGCGTTATCTCCCTTTACGAAGCAAAGGGCCGACGCCTCTCGAAATACCTCGCGCGCTAATCTCCGCGCGCGCTAATTCGCGCTGGAGCGAGCGCGCGAGAATACATCCTCCTCCGCCTCACCGAGCCTCCTACTCATCCCTCCTTCTCCTCCCGCCCCTCCTCACCCCGCCCGCCCCTTCTCGATTTCTCCTCCCCGTTCCGCCCCCTAGTCCGACAGAGGAGCCTCACTTCTTACGGGCCTGCTTGGCCTGTGGCGCTGCGGTCGTCGCGAGCGCAGCCCCGGCGGCCTTGAACGCGGCGCGCGTCGGCTCGACCGCGCGCCACGGGCCCCAGGCTTCGGCCGCGCTCGCCTTTGTCTTCCCCACGCCAGAGGACCGAACGGGAGGAGAGCCGATGAGACATGCTGAAACGGATGAGGAGGAGAGGGGCTGAGCAAGTACAAATCGCCAAAATCATTGGTCTGGCGGCATTGCTGTTTCCTCGGTTTGGCCCTCCCGAAACCACTCAGTTGGAGGTAGGCTTCAAGCTAAATCGGAAGTCTTGGTTGTCAGGTTCCAACGGAGCAGCGTCGGAAGGAGGAGGGGCAGGGGATTGGAGGAAGAGGAGGAGGAGGATGAGGAGAGGAGGAGGAGGAGGAGGGGGTGAAGCGCGGGGGGGAGGGAGGGAGGGCGGGAGGGGGGGAGGGGGGAGGGGGAGGGAAGATGGAGGAGGGAGAGGGAGGAGCGCGGGGAGGAGGAGGAGGAGCGGCCCACCGTGCGCTCGTTCGTCGAGTCGACTCGGCGCTGACAGATGCTGTCCGCGGCGCCTGGAGGCTGAAGTCAGCGGCGCCCGCGGCGTGACTCGGAGCTGCGCGGCAGCGCTTGGAGGCAGGCGCTGAGGGCGTTGGAACGTGGCCCTCCCTCTTCCTCCTCCTCGTCATCCTCCTCCGCCCTCCTCACCCCGCCTCGCCCCCCCAACTCCCCCATCTCACCTCCTTCACCTCCCCCCTCTCCTCCTCCTCCTCCTACTCCTCCTCCTCCTCCTCCTCCTCCTCCTCCTCCTCCTCCACTATTGAGTACATGAGAGCTCATCAGAAAGTTAAACATAAAGACGCAAAAACGAAGAGCTCACCAGAAACACGAAACACCCACCATCATCTGTCGCCGTGTTGGCTCAAGCTAGTTTGGCTTATGCAGAAGGGTTCAGCAGCTGTCGATGATATCATCAGAGTGCTTTCCGAGAACGGCGTTTCTGCAGATGACTGGTTGCAGCACAGACTGTTGGCGCACGTAGTGATTGCTGTTCTTGGTTCAGATGAGGTTCGGGTGTGTGCGTGTGTGTGTGCGTGTGTGTGTGAAGGTGTGTGTGTGTGTGTGTGTGTGTGTGTGTGTGTGTGCGTGTGTGTGTGTGCGCGTGCGCGTGTGCGCGCGCGCGTGCGCGGGTGGTTTTTTTTTTGGGGGGGGGGCACCGCAGTGGAGTAGGGAGATCAAAACATTTGTTCCGACAGGCGCAGACGACGCGCGTCCTTCCAATGAGGTTTCTTGTTGTTTTGATTCCTTGACCGACGTTGTGAACCAATATGCGGGCACCCTTCTGGACGAGGCAGGCTTGAACAACATGATGGTTGGTTTGGGTTCCAAGCGAAAGCGGATAAGGAGCTCGCAGGCCTCTTCTGTAGCTGATGCGGCGCCACGTCCTGTCGAGGACCAGCCCGCGGCGTCGTCTCTGGTTTCTGCTGCGCAGGCGCAGCTGGCTCAACGGTTGGCGACTTTGGACGGCGCTTCTGCTGACAACTTGAAGCTCCAGATTGTCAGGCTCGAGAATGTGAATGAGGAGAAGAACGCTGGTCTTATCAAAGCAACCAAGTTAAACAAGCAGTTCAGGGAAAAGAACGAGACGCTGGCGGTGGACTTGCTCGTGGCCAGATCTGAGTTGGCCAACGCCAAGTCGAGGTCGAACTTGAGGCCGAATCGGAAAGTTACGGCGCGGGGTGCGCATTCACTTGCCCGTCGCAGAAACATGTCTCATGCTTCCGCTGTGACAGCGTCTGTGATGATTGCTGGCTACGAGGAGCATGGAGGTGTTCATGATGGTCGTGCATGTTGGCAGAGCATCGGGCATCTTGTGCATTAGCATTTCTCTCGAAGGACCACTTCGACCAATCGATCATGCAGAGATTCCAGTCTATTGCCATCAAGATGGATGCCACTTCGCAGGAAATTGTAGACAGGGGGGAAGCTGCACGTGGCGCTGGTGCGGTCTATATCTCTCGGCTTGGGCGACGTGCAGTCGTCTTAGCACAGCGACAGCGGCCGTTGTGCCACCGGCAACTTGGAGCCCAGAACGACTGGACAGAAGATCTGCAGCGATTTGATGGAGGGTCCCAGGGGGGCTTCAGCAGAGCTGCACGTGTTGGTTGAGAAAGAGTTGGAGAGCATCGGGCGCAGTACTTGGACATCTCCATCTCGTCGCGGTGGTGGCGACGCTGGCGCTCAGATATCGTTTTTCTCTTGGTCGGTGAATGCTGGTTCTGAGAACGGAAGTTTCTTGAAGAGGGTTGCGCGGGATTTGGTTGATGCGCCCAACGTGATGATGACTGCTGTTTCTTGCATGATGCACCAGGGCCATTTGATCGCCAAGAATTTGGTCGAAGTCCTTGAGACGTGGGATTGGTTTGAAGATGGCTGCGGTGTAACTGAAGAGGCGACTGGCTTGACATGTTTTAGGGTTCAATACTTTTCTGGCGCATCTGCATTCTCGAACTACTGGAGGGGAGTTGGCCACCACGAGCTGATCCAGAAGGCTGTTCAGGCCGAGTACGAGCGCGATGGCGGGCTCAGAGAGATTCAGATGAGGCTTTTAAATAAGATCCCTGGCAGGTGCTTGCGTGGGAGATGGCTGTCTTTGGAGTCAGTCGAGGAAATGCTAGTCCGTGCTGCAGCTTACTTGCCGAGAGTTTTCAAGGCCTTGGGCGTTCTCCCATCCAACAGCAAGACAGCGAAGGCTTCTGGTCAAGGCGCGACAGAGGCAAACGATTGGGCTGAGAAGCAACGGTCGTGGCGGCTGCACGTTGTGAACCTTGGCCTGAATCCTCTGCGGGCGGCAACAATGCGCATCAGTTTGACCGCGAAGGGCCCGATCGCGCACTTCTCGAGGTGGATCGAGAAGGCGAACCGTGACTACAACGACAATGTGCGCGAGCGCAGTGGCTACTTAGGGCCCACTCCGCTGTCTCAGTTAGTTTCCGAGGGCGGCGCCAACATCAGGACCGACATGAGCTTACTGTTTCGCTCGCCGCATTCGTTCAATGAGGTGTTCATCGGGCTTCCTGACCGCATCCGCAACCGATGCAGGCTTCTAGTGGTGACAATGGTGCTTGCAAGTCTTGCTTCTTGGGATTTCAGAATCGGCTGTAAACTTCAATCGGTCCCTCTTCTGTTGCTTCGAATGCTGGAGTCGGGCCCAGATGCCAGGGATGACATGCGCGCGGCCGTGGCCACCGCGCTCTTGGGCAAGTCTGCAGAAGAGCTCAAGGCGATCGAGGCGAGCGACGTGCAGTGGAAGATCAGGGTGCTCTTCAGGGCGGAGCTCGATAGTGTGGCAGAGTATGGTACATGCCCCGACACCCCTACGGCTTTCTGTTAGCTTGGAGGTCCGGCCTTGACACAGGCACCCAAGAGGTCGAGGGCATCAACAGCGCGCTTCAAGCCATGGGCCGCGCAGCCAATCACCTCTAGCGGGCGTTGTGATCAGACAGGCTTCGCGTGAAGAAATCAGGCCGCACCAGCCCCGACGAGCGCGTGATCTGGCATAAAGCCGTTACGAAGCACATGAACATGCCAGACCACCTGAATCGGTTTGCAGTCGTCAATCGGGATGTAACGCCTGAGCTTACATTCGAGACGCACTATGAGGACGTGCACTTGGCTGCTCGGGCGGCTCAGCCCCAGCCCGGCATGGCCAGGCGGGTCGACGTGGACGTTGGTGCCGTGCGGTCTTTTGTGCGGGTGGCGGCTGCCAACGCTTGTGCTGGATATTTCGTGTGCTGGGCGTACTATCGGAACCAGTATGCGGCGGTCGCCTCGATCGAGACTATAGGCCAGTCGCGCGAAGACTTGGGGGCGCGGGAGGTTCGTGCCCCGTCAGCCTCAGAAGCATGCTTGAGGCGGTGGTGGGAGGGAGGCTCGAAGCTTCTGAGGCTGGCGTGGCGCGGGCCATTCCGCCTCCAATGCCGTCGCGCGACCCTCAGGCGGCGTCGGCGGCGCCACGTTTGCCACGTTGGGCGAAGAGGTAACTATCGTTGACATGAGGAAGTGCATGTGTGACATCTTGCGTCCGAAGCACAATTGGGACACCCTGAAGAGGATTGACATCTACCGAACGCCAGTGAAGTGGCCCACTCTACACAGAGCAACGTTGGATCTCACGAAGCAAGAAGGCGTTCGCACACAACGAACTCCAAGGAAGAAGTCACGTAAAGTTGCTGCTGGGCCAGATGGCCCAGCGCCGATTGGCGGGCTCGGGGGCGCCGACGGTTCGGACGACGACGACGACATGTCCTTCGCCGAGTTCCTGGAGGTACTGATTGAGGAGGACCGCGGCCATGCCGATGATGACGCTGTGGCAGTCGATGCTGATCATGCCGATCGTGCCGCCGACGATGCGCATCCTGCAGACCGCGACGAGGATGAGCTTGAGCGCCGCGACGACGTTGGTGGCGACGATGGCAACTTGTGGGCTCTTGAATTCGTTCATGACGCAGCCGTCTTCATTGAGGCCATGCGGAGCACGAGCTACGACGAGCTCAATGCGTCGGTCGCCCGTTGTTTGCCAGGTGGCGCGATCTCGATCAACGGCATCAGCCTGATCGAGTATGACAGCACGGTGGTGTTTGTGCGCTGGACTTCTGCCGCGGGGCGGAGAGGTCGCCGACTTCTTCTGGGCGAGCACGGTCGGATCAAGGCTATGTATGTTTTTGTCCGCAGCAGTTGCCATTGAGGAGTTCGAGGCGGCGCGTGTTATCATATCGAACACTGGTGCAGAGTATGTCAAAACGGCAGCGCCTGCAGATCGTGGCCAGATGCCTCAGCGGTGCCTTGTCATGCAGCTGTCAGCGAATGTCAAAGCTCACAACGGGCCGTTTGACGTGGATGCGATGCCGCTGTTCAGGAACACCTGCGCCGTGTGCGACGTCGCCCGTGGTCACTTCGAGGGCCCCTACCCAGCTCCACCAGCGCTTGGCGAGATGTTTCTTTGCGTCTCGTGTCTGACGCCATACCATGAGACTTGTTCTAAGTCGTTCGGCACGAGGGTGCGTAATGAGAACGCGGCGTGCAGCTTCTGCAAAGCAGCAGCGTACACATAATAATAATACTACTAATAAACACATGCAAAAACAAATCCATCAACACCAGCATCAGAAAGTAGGCGGGCCTGATTCTGACAACCACCTGAAGCCCTCGTCTTGGTCTGATTCCTATGCGCATAGGAATCTGGCCTGCGCGATTCCTACGCCATAGGAATCCGACGTGCCCGATTCCGGTGCGAATAGGAATCGGGCATGTCGATTCCTACGAACATGGGAACCGACATGCCCGATTCCTATGCGCATAGGAATCTGGCCTGCGCGATTCCTACGCACATAGGAATCGGGCAGGATTCCGATGGTCATAAGAATATGGCAGGTCTGATTCCTATGTGCATAGGAGTCGGGCAGGGTCGGATTCCTACGTGCGTAGGAATCGGGCAGGGTCGGATTCCTGCGCGCGTAGGAATCGGGCAGGGTCGGATTCCTGCGCGGGTAGGAATCTCGCCTGTCCGATTCCGACGCGCGCTGGAATCTGGCATGCCCGATTCGGACGCGCCCAGGATTCCGGCCGGCCAGAATTTCAGCCCCCGATGGGGGGCCCCGCCTCGCAGGCATCATGCCGCCGGTGCCCAGCGACTCCCCCGGCAGCTCGCTGGACCGCGAGTACGAGCACGTGTCGGACAGATCTTTCTCATTCTCCTTCTCCTCATTCTCTTCCTCGTCCGATCTCCTGCCTCCTCCTCCCCCTCCTCCTCCACCTCCCTCTCCTCCTCCGCCACCGCCTCCTCCTCCTCCCATAGCCCCCTCGCTTCGTCGTCGTCCTCCTCCTCCTCCCGCCACGTCCTCCTCCTCCTCCTCCCGCCACCTCCTCCTCCTCCTTCGTGCTCTCCTCCACCTTCCCCCTATCCGAGAGGAGCGGCTGGGCCCCAAGTCGGACGTTGAGTACTTCGAGTGGGTGAACGAGCACTTCCTCATCAGCGACGTGTCCTTGCTGAGTTCGGCAGGTGCTTTCGCCGTGGAGCGACGCACGGAGAACAAGGAGGGCAGGGGCTCCAAGGCCGGCGCGACGGAGTTGGCGAAGTCGGCGTGGGCCAAGGGAATTCGCCAGGAGATGCGGAGTCCGCCTTGGCTAGTGCAGTCGGCGTCGGTAGGCGACGACGAGACGTCCACGGCCCTGCGCTGGGGGGCGCCGTTGACGGCGACGAAAAATTGCATGCTGAAGGACGTGGGCAAGACCAACGTCAGGGTCCAGGAGTCGCTCAAGGAGAAGATCAAAGGCAGCAGGCTGCATTCTCGCCACATCAGCAAGGGCGCGGCCAAATTTCTCGTGTGCTACGGCAACAGCCTCAATGAAGCGGCGACGCCGACGGCGATCATCCAGGTCTACGGTTGCGCATCCGACGCCCAGACGAGCGTCGATTCGAGGAAATCCGCCATGATGTGGACGAATGCAAGCATAGGGGCCGCTGCGATGAAAGAAGAAAAGTTGAAGGTTGCCCGCCAGATCTACCCGCTCTACTGTAAGGACGCGACTGCGCTCGAGAGGTGCTCGGTCATGTACAAGGACAGCCAGAAGATCGCGATTGACGTCGGCGAGTACAAGAGAGAATGGGTATGGGACGTGATCGCCAGGAGGTTCAGGCACGAGGTTGCTGCATACAAGATGCCGTCCACCTCGTTCGACCGCGTCTTTCACTGCGCAGCCGACATCGCCAGGATTCTCAAGGACGTGCTCCTCTGCATGCCGCGGCTGCTGGGCAACTGGGGTGCTTGCCCTACGTTGCCCGACGGCCTCCCGATCATCAAGTCGATCGACGCGCCGGCGATTGCAGGCCTGCCGAATCCGCTGCCAGCCGACGACGACACTTCTCAGCCTAAGCCCGTAGCACCGAACCCGATGAAGAGGGCCACGAAGACCGTCGACCCCCGCAAGCAGCGCAAGAGAAGGAAGGCGTCGGCGTCGGTGGAGGTTCTTGGCCAAGACGAACGCGGCGAATAACAGATCGTGGATCAGGACGAGAAGGAGGCGATGGCTGCTGCCAGGACCAAGTCGTTCTTGAGTTACCTGGCCGAGGTGTGCAAGTCCCTGGCGAGAATCGACGAACAGCAGCTTCATCTCGCCGGCGACTTCAAGGCCATCGCACTGCATGGCGCGCTCTTTGGCAGCGCGAATCTGCGGGTGAAGGGAGGCAACTACAAGACGGTCAAGGGCTTCGAGGGCTTGCATGCTGCTTTCATCAAGCACATGACCAAGCGCGCCCTCCTCCCTCGCTACTCCGACCCGATGACCGACAGCTGTGCCGAGGAAGCCGCTGATGTTGATGGAGGCTTTGCCATGGCCGAAGAGGATGTGGCCCTCGGAACCGACGAGAGCAAGCAGACCGTCGAGCAGATAGTCAACCACCTGATCACGGACGCGCGCATCACCAAGCCGACGGCTGCCAACCTCTCAGCGGCGAGCGCTTTGAACCAAGTGTTGATGGCGAGCTTCAAGGTCCAGGCTGATCAGGGTGGCAGCTTTGCAACTGGCGGTGATGACGCGCAGCTCAAATTCTTCGACATCGTTATCAAATCCGTGCTCGACAAGTACCCCGACTCCTGGGGCGCGGTTGCAACGTTCACCGCCAAGGCGAAGCCAAAGTTCCCGGCCTGCCTCAAGGAGACGGCGACTACTTCACGAGCGACTCGCTTGCGTGGCAATTGATGGTTGGGCGAAGTTGGCTGGCTAGTCTGGTCGCCTTCGCCTGAACACCAAGTGCCGCGGTTGGCGAGTTGGTCGGGCAACCGTTGCATTTAGGAGTCGGTCTGCAAGGAGTTCGTCGATGGTGAGCTGGAGTGTTTCTCTTCTCGCATGGTCTCAGCGATGCGCATCAAGGCGTGCTTGCACGTGCGCTCGTCGCTCGCCATGCAGATGTGCATGGAGAAGGGCGCCGACGGCAAGATCGTTCCGAAGAGGTTCTTCCCCGAGGTGTTCTCGAACGCTTACTCGGACCTTGTGGCCACGATAGATATCAAGAACTTGACTGGGGACATTACTGGCATGATCGACGCTGCGCCATCGTGGCAGGAGGCGGCGAGAAGCATCGCCCATGCTCTCATCGATGCCAACACGTTTATCGAGACGCACAGCCCGAAGCAGTTTGAGGAGATGCAACAAAAGTTGAAGGAGGGCCTAACATCAGCATCGGATCGCAAGACTGCTTGGCCGACGCTCCTGCGCTCGTACAAGATCAAGCTCGGCAAGCCCGTGGACTACCAGCAGATCACCATCCTACCATCAGAGAAGAATGTTGCGGCGAACACCATCATGAGCGCCTTCAACAAGGCACACAACAACGCCGTCGAAGCGTTGCACGTGTTGCAGAATACGGCCGGCTTCGCGACGAAGAGTGTCTTGAACAAGTACGTCAAGGATCCAGAGGTTGCTGTTGGTGCCCTTGAGCTTCAACTTGCTACGAGTGGTCCTGCTGCTGCCTCCAAGGCAGGAGAGAGCATCTACGAGTGGCTGAACCGCGTGATGATGAGCGAGAAGGCGGACTTGAACAACACCGAGTTGCGCAAGAAGGAGATCCAGACTGAGTTGAACGCAGCCTTCGCCGAGATCGCAGGCAAGCACGGCGATTCCAAGGATGACAACTACATGCTCGTAGCCGAGGAGAAGAAGACCGCGGCTGGACTGTCCAAGAAGGTTAAGCTCGTGCGCAACCTCGACTACTTCGGCGCCAGCGCAGACACGCGCGCTCGGCATCTGTGGGGCAAGGTTGTCGACGAGCATGTTGCCAGCAACGTCAGCAGGGCGAACCTAGTGGACCTCGGGCGCAGCGAAGGCGCTAGCCCTCGATTCTTCTTGGGCGGCTCTGCGCGCCAGAACTCGAAGAAGAGCGAAGCCTGCTTGGGGTTCCCGATTCGCCCTGTGCCTGCTCCGCCAGCCGACTCCGCCGTCAAGAAGAAGGCCAAAGCTAAGGCGGGCGTTCGCTCGCAGCTTCCCGTAGCTACTCGCGCGTTGCAGTTTGAGGATCTGGAGATCACGTTGTCTCTAGGTGAAATCCCCACCTACAAGTCGGCACGCCTGGCGCCGTTGTACGCCGCGCCCAGCGGCGACCGGCAGGCGCCCTGCCGCGAGGAGACAGCTCTCGACAAAGCTGAGCTGGAGAAGCCTCCAAAGGGGCCTTCTTCCTCGCATGCAGGCTTCTGCGCGAAGCAGGCCGGCACCTCTTGGCGCTGCTTGGTCGACAACATTGTTCGGCCAAGCCCATCCCGACGCAGCGCCACGCAGCAACCAGCAGCAACATGAAAATCGAACACCTCAACAGCCGACAATGTTTCGTTGGCGTTCGCCCCGTGGCATTGTGCTCAATGGGCCCCCGATCCGATGCCGCTCGTGGTTTGGACGGCGGCGGGATCGGGCAATCGATGCAGCGCTGCAATGGGCAGCGCGCAAGTAGTTAGCACAACCTCCTGTCCTCTCCTCCGCCTCCTGATCCTATCTTCTCCCAGCCGATCAATTCACCGTCCTCCTCCTCCTCCGACCCCCGCCTCTGCGCCGCGTTCCGCGCGGCGGTGCGTCGCAGAAGAC